GTAATAACTGATTTGTTGGCAAAGGTTTAATCATCTTACCTTGGGGAATCATTCCTTTCTGCACTTGAAGCTTTCCCTGTATTTGCAAAGCTGTAAAAGAACAAGCCGGGCACCTTTGAGAACCACTCGGCACAGCCAACTCGTGTGGCCATGATAGCCAGAAAATGCTCCCCTTTGCTCCTACCTTCTTCTCTGGAGCTCAGGAAGTTAGACAAACCCATGGGACTAACATGGGCCAGGGACGCAAGCCAGTGGTGTGTGTTCCTTCCAAATGACCCATTCTTTGGACTGTTCTTGCCTCAACCCAACAAACGAGAACAGCCGTAAAGTTCCTCATGGTGCGGGTTCAAGGAGAGGCATTTGCCCTGCAGCCCCTCCTGTGTGTGGGTGTACAGAAGCATTAAATCTGTGTGACCTTGCTGAGTGAGAGGGAAGCACCCTCTACCATCCAGCCATATGCCAGCATAGAGTGCTGCCGTCTAAACATCTGTTACACATTGGAACAAGCGATGAACCATGAATGATTATCCCTTAGGATGTCCATGGAAACTGTGCTCTTTAAACAGCAGCCTTAATAGTTTCTACATAGAATATACTTCCTCCAGAGACAGTCAGTAATCAGGCAAGGAGCTGACTCCTGGGTCACTCAGACATCATTGCTTCACTTCAAGCAACAAGAAATGGAGAGACAGCTTAACTTCAATCCAACACACTTTATTTTTTTTTCACCTTTTTTTATTTTCAATGGTCAAGTATTCATGGTGTTGTAAACCCAGGTTTATTAGTCCTTAGACAGTCAGTTTCATGAAACAGAAAGAAATAAGTCATACACCCCTTTACATTACCGTAACAGGTTTCCAAATAAATACTGGTTCAAAGAACCACAAAATCAAACTCTACATAATAGCCTAAAGCAGCCTTTCATCGCAGACATGCCTCTAAAAAGAAACACACAGACGGACAGATGGACAGACGGGTACAGGCGGACACACACATCCAACACTCTGCAGATATCCTAATGCGTTTGCCACAGCTTCGCGTTTCCTTAGCCTACAAAGTTAAAGGCTGACTTGGGTTTCATGCTCCTGGATGAACATCTGGGTTTGGGGTAGAGGTATATATTTTAAGAAAAATGCCCACTGTCAAGCCTTACCCTTTCGTTTTATTTAATACACCCTTACCATTACCTCAGTTTTCAATAACATTTACTTCTTAACTTTTGACATGTACAGTAAAAGACGATAGCATTGAACCCCAATGCAAGAAAAAAAAAAACAGCTCACAGGGCTTAAAGCTTCCTGGAGAAGACAGAAGACTATATAAATAGGTTTTTATCTCTCTGAAATTACTTTTAGCATCTGTTTATTCTTGCTAAACTAAATATCAAAAGCACTGACTTTTCCGTAGGAAAGGATTCTCCCCGAGGCTTCTCATTTTTGCAGTGTAGAGATGGTGGGCTGTGGCAATGAGAGCCTAGGGGGCTTGTTCTCCGGGGGAAGCCCCAGGTTTCCAAACACAAAGCACACGCAGTCCCCTGTTGTGGAAACACTGAATTCAGAGAGGAACATGCATCTCTTAATACTTTAGCACCAAGGCATTTTACTATTAATGTTGTCAAAGCCAACAGCGATGAGGTGAGCTTCTGGTCACCTTTGACCTTCCTTAAGGCTGAGTAAAAATGAAGTGCTTAAATTAAACCTCTTCCGACCAATACAAATCTGGTTGCAATGCCACAGGAAGTCTGGGACAGACTAAACTGGCAGCATCCTCGTCACTTCTGGCGGAAGAGTAAACCAGGGCTACCACTAAAGGTGACTAAAAAGAACAGGGGTGACAAAATGCACCTGGTTACTAGCCTCTCCTGCCAGTCACCTCCCCACCCCCCACTGTGGAAAAGAAAACACAGACATAAGACAATTCCTCACAAGCCTGGAGAGCGAGGTTGCCTTCCAGGCTATTCTGGGGGTTACAGTATTCGGGTTTCTATCTGCTACTTAGAATACTCAGCATGGACCTATGCAGCAAATCACATTTTGCACCTCTGGGATGAACACACACACACACACACACACACACACACACACACCCTAGGCAAGCACTTGCCTTGCTCTGGGGCTCACGGGAGAGTTCCCACAGCGCCTTTGGGTCCCTCCACACTGTGTGGCTGTTCCTTGGTGCACACAGGGGTCTACAAAGCAGCCTCAAAAAAAAAAAAAAAAAAAAAAAAGACCCCTCCTGGCCTCCTGGTTATAAGTTCAATAAAGAATGTGAGCTGGAATTGTGGACCAAGCAGGAAATTTTGGAGGGTTGGTGGGACGTAGGATTCCTGAGACCCTCAGGAGCCCTACTCTGTAGCAACTTCTGCGGGTGCTAGTTCCCTGAGTGCAAGGATGCGGGTACTGTCACGGTCTTTTGAGGTAACAGACGGGTCGGTGGCTTGTGTATATTTTCTATGTTCTTTTGGAGTCTTTGTTAATAATCTGAAAACCCACAGTTGTCTACAAGCAGAAGTGTTAATCTACTGACGAGAGAAGAGTATAAATAACCCCAGAGCCGAGATACAATCAATCAGAACTAAGCTTTTTTTTCTTTTCATAAAAAATTCACTTTAGGAAATTCTGCTAAGATCCTAATTAATACCAAAACTGAATGTATTCTCAATTAAATTATAAATAAGCATTTGAGGTATGTGATAACAAATGATTTTAATATCATACTTGGCTACATAAATGAAATTTACCTTGAAAAATCTAGTGAAACACTGAGTGTGGATGGCTCCCATGGATATGTGCTATGCTTTTTTTTTCTATTTATACAAGGAAATGTCTCTATTTTGAAGAATGTCCCTACTCTTCCAAAACAATACTACATCAGAAAGTGGCATGTGCTCACCTACTTTCCAGGCGACATTTTCCCTTTGTTTACGGTGAATATTCTCATAAGAAGCCAACAATTTAGTCAGAGAGAGCTGTCTCAGCCTGTCGCTGCCCCTCGCACCATCCTAGGTGACTGAATTTAACATTCTGAGCCTCAGGTTCAAATCCGTTTACAAAACAAACAGACAAAAATCCACTCCAGAGAAGGATGGGGTGCTGCTCAAGGGAGAACCTGTGCTTAGCGTGCTTAGCATATGCAAGGCCCTGAGCTCAATCCAGCACCGCTGAAGAGAAGCGTGTTTGCATGTTCTTGAAGAGAGAAATGCAATGGATGGGGAATGCTGGGAAACTATTCTGGAAACAGTCACCACACCAAGTGTTGGTCTGTCTCCGCACTGCCCTTTCTCCCCATCCCCACAGCATGCCCAAGGACTTTGACCGTTATTTTTTTTTTTAAGCATTAACTCCACCTCCAAGGAACAAGACATCACACAAAGGAAGAAAATCAAAATATGTTCTCCAACACCCTCCTCCCTCAGCCCTAGGGAGTTTCTAAATCAATGATCTGGATATTATATTTGCATATTAAAGCCAAACAACACATTAATTCATAGAGCTGAAGGGATAGCAAAGTGTCCTTTTGTCAAAACAAGTGATTCAAAGCCTCTGCTTTGAGAGCAGCAATTAAAGTTCCTGTTAGGAGCCGTGGCTAAAAGTGACCAGCCAGGGTACCAGAAACACAGGAGACCTCTCCTATTGTACGACCGAATGGTGCGAACTACGAAATAGTCAACCCACTGGCTATGCCAGCGTCTAAAACATTTGGAGAGCAACCTTTAATTGCTATTCTACCCAGAACTTCATCCCCTCCTGACTTCACTACTCACTTCCCGTTCAGCAACAGCGCATTCACAGTATCAGGAGCAACTATTCACAAATGGACATACGCATCTCAGGTCAATGTCTCTGAGTTCTGGCCTCAGCATCCCAAAGGATTTCATAGAGCAGTAAGTGGTTTCAACACATGACTGGTGCCCAGGCAGCAATTGCTGAACTGAATCCAAGGAAGAAAGGGATGAGGGTCTTTCAAATTATCCCTGGTGAATCCATCCATCCTAACACCAAACCAGGACCCGTTCCACCAAAAGTCTCTTAAATAAATCTTAATTATCACAGAAAAATAAAGCAAGTACTACCACTCCAAAATCTACAAATCTTAGCATCAACACCAAAGGAAACTGTCCCTTTTAAAGGTGTAAGACGGCAAAGAGGGACACTGAGTCCCTAGAGGACACCTTCGGGAACTCTACGCTATTTTATGAGACCCTTTCATGTTTGTTACACCAGACAAAATCTGACACAGCAGTGACAACCCTAGCTAAGCATGGCTGCCCACCTCCCTGACAGCCAAGCCCAGGAGTCCAAGCGAAGTCCTTTCCACCTGGTCACTAACTCTACTTCTTATAGACATTATTCAGTCTGATAGTGAATGCCCCTCCACGAAAACCCCTGACTAGTGGCCTTGCTACAAGGACAGGACATCAATCCTATACCTAGGGACATCCTCACAACTCTACTTGTGTGGCCCGTCAAGAACGTAGGTGCAAAGGCCTGACTCATAGCCAGTCTGCCAGCCATCTCTCTTCCAGACAAGGGAACGTTTCCCAAGTTCACCAGGCAGGACATGAGTTGCTGGACAGAGAGGTCTCAACTTTATGACACATTGGGCCTTTTGGTCCCCTGCAGCTCAAAGATCGTCAAGAGACTTCTCTCTTAAGACCCATACAGAAAGATACCGAGCAGTGCCTAAGGCAATGAACGACTGTCAAAGAACCCAGGGTGTCTTTCGGAAGGGAAATGTCCTTTCTCAGAATCACCGCAGGAAGAATATGAGCACAGAGATGGGAAGGGGATGGTGAATTGAGGCTAAAGGAGAGAAAGACAGTTCAGTACGGTAGACTTGTTTGCTTTACCAAACTCATTACTTAACATAGGATCACATATTGTGTTCGGTTGACAAATCTCTCATCTCCTCAGCAGCGTCTGTAATATCCCAAGTACAGCTTTTCTGACCGAAGTTCTCATTTTCTGAAGCAACCATGGTCATTTTCTATCCAGAAAAAAAAAAAAAAAACAGTAGAGACTTGCCAGTTGAGGCTATAATGAAATAAATCCCCAGTAGGGACTCAATCTTACCCCGGGAATTTCTTTATCCACTACTTTGAATGTCAAGATAGTAGTAATCCTTAGCAATGTTTAGTGGGTCCTTCAGAGCTGGATTTTGACAGCCATTTCCTCAGATAGGAAAGCCGTTTCCTTCTTTATTAAGCATCTCAAATTATAGTTTCTAACCATCCTATTTAGCACACTAGTTTTAAAGCCCCTTAGGAAAGAATACTGTAGTTTAAATAGTCAAGCTATCAGATGTATGATTCAGCAGCCTCTTGATCTACCGTATGATGGCGTAAACAGACTAAGAAGAAAAACAGATCGTAGGAAATTCTGTTGTCATTCATTACATTGTGGCATACAGTTCTTTGAAGCATTTGAAGTTTTTCTACCTGATTGATACGTCTGCTATGGCTTAAAATGCTTTTCACAGCGCTTTAGGGAACATTCAGCTTCCAATTATCAAAAACATCTGCTTTATTCTTGAAAGCCAAAGGGGCACGCCACACTTCTATCGTTCCGATCAGATTGCATAGTTGAGGCAAATTGTGCTTTGGAGCAGAACCCACAGTAGGTGTTCAAACCTAAGAACTCTGCCTTGCTGATGCAAAGTCATGGTCAAGCTCACCTCCCTCTGGAGGGTAAGCTAATGATATGCGTGGTCACAGCCTTGCCCATGGTTCACCACGGGGCCTCAGGCTTTTACCATATAGGAGCGTGAGCATGAAGTGAACCCAGCGAAAGTGGTAACCGATGTATCTAAGCTCCTCCCTGGAAAAAGAGAGGGGAAGCTGTCAGTCTGGTTGAGGTATCCAGCCCTCAAACAACAGAGGCTGTGTAGACTGAGTTTTGTTGGTTTGAGGATTGTGTCTGTAGAGGTTTTTAAAAAAGGAAGTAAGAAGGCACAGGTGTTTCTCAACTCGCCATATTCAACTCAACCAACAAAACATGTCTTCCTTTTCCGGGCTTCAGCAGGGACGCTACAGAGCAGAACTGGGGCTCTCGTCTAGCCCAGGATCTGCAGAGCAACTTATTGCTTCTGGGAAAGGCCCAGGGTAGGTCTGTGTAGTGCCTGGGAATCCCTTTTGCAGACCAGTTTCTTCCTGAAATTCCGCCTGGGTGCTGAAGGCCGGGCAGGATGTAGTCCGGGCGTATTTCTCCGCTTTGTTAGGCTGGCCCACTAGCTCACTCACAGTCCTCAGCGGGAATTCTCTGCACCTCTGCCTCTGCAGTTCATCTTCTTTGTATTTGATAGAGTACCAGGCCAGGAAAATAAAAATAAAGCCCACAAATTTGAGGCCAGCCGCCAAACCGAAGTAGACGAAACGGAACGACGTCACGTTGTACTCCCAGCAAGACCCCTGCACTCCACATTCCTGCTGCCAGAGCATACAGGTGGTGTCAATCACAGCTCCAAAGTAAATCGGAGTAGGAATGTATGCTGCAGCCATGGGAAGAAAGAGAAACACAGAGATAGAGCGCATTCCATAAGAGAAAACATTTGTCATTAGCAACGTTTGTCCGATGCTGAGAATGATTCTTGTTTAATTGAATTTTCTTAAAGACATTTTCATTTAATTGCAGCCAATTGTATTTAATTGCAACTTATGGAAATAAACAGCAAGTACTTCTTCCACTTGACAGCTCAGACTGCCTGAATGCTGTTTAGGTTGTTAAAAATAACTATTGCTTTTTTTATGGTTACTGAGTCCTTACACTGGGCACTTTTGATACAGTTTTGACATGAGACTTCAGTAGAGTTGAAAGAACTGTCTATGGCCAACACAAAATATTTCCAAACTTAAAATTGGTTCCTGTTCCTGTTAAGTCAGGTTGGAGCAGGATAGGAGGATGCAGAATATTAAGAGGACATAGGGATGGACAGAAGCCCTTTGCCCTGGAGTCTGGTCTAAGTCTCTTGAAGCTTAGAGTCAAGAATTTTAGCACAAAGGGCTGGGGAGGTGGCTCGGTGGATAAAGGGCATGCTGAATATTCATGAGGACAGGAATTCAGATCTCTGGAACCCACATTTAAAAAGAAAGCAGCTCCTCATGGCAGCATGTATCTGTCACCCCAGAGCTGAAAGAAAGAGGCGGGCAGATCCCTGAGGGCTCCCTGGCCAGCAAGTGCAGCCAAAATATTCAACTAGTTCAGGTTCAGGGAGGCTAGGTTTCAAAAAAAAAAAAAAAAGATGGAGTCAAGTGTGGAGCCGCACGTCTTTAATCCCAGCACTCCAGAGGCAGAGGCAAGAGGATCTCTGTGAACTCAAGACTAGCCTGGTCTCCACAGAAAGTTCCAGCCCAGTGGGGATTATGTAGTCAGACCCTATAACAATAAATATATAAATAAAGTGAGGAAACAATTAGGAAGATGTCCCAATGTCAACACATAAAGAATCTCACCACAACTAACAGAGTAAACTATAAGGATTGTCTCCATAAAGATAACATTCGCTTATAGAAAGGCATTTCCAAAAAGAATGTTAAAATAGCAATAAGGCACGCAAAGGACCTTCATGTAAAGGACCTTCCCTCTTTCTCAACGGAACACCTGTTTTTTGTTTGTTTGATTGAGAATATCACAGACAAGATCTCAATAGCCTTGTTTGTAGTCAAAATTCATCTTAACTCCGTGACATCCAGTCTAATGAGGGGTTTCAACCCTGTGACCTAGAGTTTTGTCTTATCAGCCTACAATCCCATCCAATACACTTCAAAAACCACCCTCCGATCTCATGTACTGAAGAAAAAAAAACCTTGTTTTTAAAGTTTCTTAGAAGCTCTTATACACAGTATGTTCAGAAAATACCAAAATTAGATGTATAGCTACTAGTAAGGCACTAGATTGTAACTCTCTCCTGAGGAGCCCAGGACCACACATGCGTGCAGACTGTCTTTGTCCTAAGTGCCTCCCATTAGCACGGGGCCTGCTCAAGTATGATCGAATGTCTGCTTATAACTCTGCTGAACTTCCTGCTGACTTGCCCTGAAAGACTTTCCTGTAGCACAGTGAGGAGCTCCACCTCTCCTGACTGCCGCTCCCTGACAAGCCAGCTTGGCAGGCTACTAAAAGATACTGCATGGGGCTGTGCCTTCCACTCAGGGCCACTGCAGCTGACAAGCCCCACTTCAAATGGGGACTTCACCAAGGTGTTCAGTGTGGGGACATAACTGCGGCCTACAATCTATCTCCAAAGCTTCTCAAAGATCCGGGAGGAGCGGAAGCTCTGATATCTGGGCTGTGTGTGACAGATGCCTCTTCCAACTCCACAAGAAAGCAAGCTTAACTAGCTAGAAAGCCCTCACACCCTTTGCCACCGCCCCCACCTCTAACTCATTCATCTGGCCAACGGCCATTTCTCCCTTCAACCCCTGGGTCGCAAGGACAACACTCTGCTGCCACTGTGTCTAGTATGTACTTCTGCTTTTTCAACTACCAAAGAGCTCTGACTTAAAGCCTTTGCCGTTTGTCACCCCATAAAGTCCTTGACACAGCACCTACTCCCTTTTGTGCTGTGCACCCTAAGAATTGTGTGACAGCCCATGGCTGCTCAGTGCACAGAGGTAAAGGCTGGAGAGCTTGAAGCAGGGAAGGAAGGAGGGAAGAAAAGAAAGAGGGATGAAGTGAGGAAGGACATAAAGGGTCGGGTGGTGGTGCACAGCACACCTTCAATCCCAACACTCAGAAGGTAGAGGCGGGTGGATCTTTGTGAGCTTGAAGCCAGCCTGGTCTACAGAGCAAGTTCCAGGACAGCAAAAGCTACACAGAGAAACCCTTGAGAAAACAAACACAAAAAGGAAAGGAAAGAAAGAAAAGGCCATCTAGTAGCTCTGAGTCTGTGAATGGGATACTGTAAGGTAATTTCTACCTATTGACCATGTGTTCTAGGGGTTGGAGAGATTGACTGCTCAGCGGTTAAGAGAGCCGACTGATTTTTCCAGAGTTATGTGTTAGGTTTCCAGTACCCACAGCTCACAGCTACCCTCACTCCAACTCCAGGGCACCCGATGCCTCTGGCCTCCTTGGCACCTGTCCCATGCACAGACACACATAAATGCACATAGTTAAAAATAATAAAAATAAGTCTCAAAAACAAAACCTGCTGGTCAGATTAAATGGTCACTTTCGGGAAGGACTAAAAAGTCTTCTGTTTTGAAACTTGGGGCAAATCAAATGTTGGTGGTTAGCTTAACTACACTTCTGCACCCCCGATACAAATGGAGACAAAACCGAGCTGAGCAGCAAGCGCCAGGTGTTGCTCTTCCCTGGCTTCCTAACCGTTCTGTAAGTGGTACTGCTTCAGCCCAGATCCATGTCAAACAACCCAACTGAGCCAAAATAAGGACTTTTCTTCCTCTTTTTCAACTCAGTCATCACTTTGATTGACCAATTCATGTCTTTGAAAAGATCTTTTTAAACCAGGCATGTGGTGCACAACTGTGATCTCAGCATTTGGGAGGAGGAGGCAGAAAATGACCGTAAGTATGAGGTGTAACCCAAGGCCAGCTGGACTGAGACTGATGGAGCATGGGATCAAACTGGACTCTCTGAATGTGGCTGTCAATGAAGGCTGACTGAGAAGCCAAGGACAATGGCACTGGGTTCTGATTCTACTGCATGTACTGGCTGCGTGGGAGCCTGGTTTGTTTGGATGCTCACCTTCCTAGACCTAGATGGAGTGGGGAGGACCTTGAACTTCCCACAGGGCAGGGAACCCTGACCGCTCTTAAAACTGGAGAAGGAGGGGGAGGAGGAGTGGGAGAGATATGGGAGGTGGGGAGGAGGCGAAAATTTTAAATAAGTAAGTAAGTAAGTAAGTAAGTAAATAAATAAATAAATAAAAGTATGAGGTGTACCTAGGAAATCCCAGGCCATACACAGAGGGCTATACACATAGCAAAACTCAATCAAAAATAAATAAAGGCAAAACCCTAAGCAACAACACAAACTGTACTTTTTAGTCTATGTCAAAAAGCACATAGGCATAATTCTTAACTGTGTGCGATTGTATCCGAATCCTCTTGAATCAGCATGCTTTTAACAGCAGAATCTTCAAAGACCTTCAAAGTCCTGCCTGCACCAAACAACAAACCACACCAGGGACTTTTCCCTGCTGGAGGTTATTGTATTCATCAACCCCGACTCACTACAAACAATTCCAGGGAGTGCAGAGGCCTTGAAGAGGAGGAAGGTGCCCTTTAAAAATATGACACCCTTCAAAACCAAACTGTGAGTTAAAAACAAACCAGTTCTTTTTCCCTTGTCCCACGGACAATGGTACCAATTAGTCAGGGGAAAGGCCAGCTGAAGGACAGGACAGACTGCCCTGTAAGGGGAAATAAGCTTGAGGAAGTCAGAGGAGGGACTGCCTAACTGAGGAGGCAGTGAGCAGCCTCCAGGGCTGTTTCCAACTCAGGGTCCCAAGGTTTCAAGGACTGCTGTGTCTTCCTCGCGTGCTCTGTCGTTCCTTGCTGGTGTGCGTGGCCTCTCTGTACCTTTGTGACTCTCTTTTTTGCTTTTTAAGATCTTTTCATCAGCAAACTCTACAAATATACATGTCAATCAACCCAATAAAATTGCTCTAAAGCATTATCACAAGTAAGGTATCATAAGTAATAGGCACCCCAGTTTTTTTTTCACATTCATGTAAAAAGGCATCAAGAGACAGAAAGGCCAGGATAGTCAAGTCATTACAAATTTCTTGACTTCATATTTTTTACTGTATAAAACTCTGGGGGAATTTTGTACAAGTCTGTATTCAGAATCAAAAAGAAACTAACCTAAAATCCATTTTCTATTGTTTCGTCCAATGACCTTGTTAACTTTTAGTTCAAACCTACTAAGGAGGAAGTGTAAGTGTCTTCTCAACCGCAAACCTGTCCAGTCCTATACTCTGCAGCACCAATGACTCAGCCTGAGTGTTTAAAGGACCTGCTGCAAAGAGGGGTGAAGGGCACACTTGGGGACTTGGGGACATACCAAGTGTTCGCAACAAAACAAACTGCATTCCCAGCGCAAAGGGCCTTTCCTCATCTTCCACGGACCTAGAGGGAAGGAGAAGGAAAAAAATGGTTTAAAACAGTGGTGCCAAGAAAATGCCAGTAAAATCGAGTCTGCCTTAGGCAGAGTCATAAGAACCTTTCCCAAAATATTTAATCCACCATGATGTACTAACAGTCACCAACCAAGGCTCCCTGGGTGCATCACAGACGACGCATGTCTCCACCAGAGACTGATTAAATCCATTTCTATACGAATAGTAGAGGAGGTGCCAGGCTCCTGGCTGAAGAGGTGGGAGGGTTCCCTCTAAATAAGCCTCCCAAAATCCCCTCTACTAAGAAAAAAATTGTAAACATTTGTCCTATCCATTGCAATCTTATTCTCTCCCTCTGTCTGTCAGAATGTTCCAGAATTGAAAGTGTATCCAATAAAAATCATTCTTACAACTCCTCCAAGATGTGTGTGGAGTATGTCCTGGCTAATATTAGGTCAACCCAATACAAGCTAGAATTATCTGAAAGTGAGGAATCTCAAGAAAATGCTTTCATAAGATCCAGTTGTAGGACGTTTTCTGAACTGATGATTGATATGAGAGGGCCCAGCCCATGGTGGATGGTGCCATCCCTGGGTTGGTGGTCCTGGGTTCTGTGAGAAGGCAGGGTGAGCAGACCATGAGTAACAAGCCAGGAAGCAGCACCCCTCCATGGCCTCTGCATCAGCTCCCGCCTCCAGGTCCCTGCCCTGTTTGAGGTTCCATCTTGACTGCCTCCAAAAATGAACTATAATGTAGATGTGTGAGCCAAATAAACCATTTCCTCCCCTCTTGTTTTTGGCCCTGGTGTTTCATCACTGCAGTAGAAACCCCAACTAAGACAAAGTAAAGGCAGACATGTACACACACTTATATACATACATATAAACGAAAAGTCAGAGAAATAAGCTTATCCAAATCATATCCCCCCCAAAATTGATGTTCTAAGTAATTCCCATGTGGTAGAAAAATTGGAACCTATTAATTTCGCAATTAGCAGAGATTAAAAGACCCCTCTGCAGAGATTTGGTGTTAGAAGCCAACTTATAAATTGTCATGCTGAAACACTTCTGAGCATTGGTAAAGCAAGGTGGCCCTTATACAGTCTACCTAACGCTTCCTGCAGAATTACGGTGGAGAAAGAGCGAGATGTTCCACATAATTTCTACATGATAAAGTGCGTTATGCTTTTCATTTCATCCACAGAGGATTTAGGCATGGATGGGAAATTTTTCCAGGCCCAGGGCCCTTACTGTCTTTTCCTCATACTCACTATGTCTTCCAGCAGTTTCCCAGCTCTGTATGCATGGTTATGCCATCAACATCTACGGACAGTTGAGTAAACCACTAGGCATTGCATGCCCTGCTTCTTCCATTTGGGACATGTCTATCAGCATCCAGAGAGAAGCTAGAGTGCGTAAGGGGTACGGGCTACGCACTCTCAGCGAGCATGGTGCTCCTGGCCGGGAATCCTGCACAGTGACCATGGAAAAGCCAGGAGGAAGAGCAAGACTGACTCCCTTCCTCACTTTCCTAGGGCCACGCCCATGCTCCCCTCTAACCCACAAGGTGTTCGCTCTTCGAACTCTACCACAGTACCCTCTCTGTCCACCACAGCCTTTAATGCAAGGATTAACAAGTAGATTTGAATTCAACAGAACAAAAGTGCCTCCCATGTTCTCTCCTAGAATAGATGGGGGTGGGAGGGACCAGGATCTGCAATCCAGCAGCGAAAGCGCAGCCTGACCAACTGGAAGCTCACATTTCCAAGCCTCGTCTGTCCTTGATTCAGCTCCAGGACTTTATACAATAGTAAAATTAATGAACTCAGCATTTTGAAATGCAAACCCAGCATAATTCCCCATCGATCCCAGAGGCGCAGTATCCATGAGGCCAGAGACAAAACCCTTTGCAAATTCACAGTCTAGCTACTTTGCCAAACCGTCTCCACCCTTCACAGGGGTCTGGCTTCTTGGAGCTAACATAGAGATGGCTTTCAACTCATGGTGTCTAACCTCATAGCACAGACTTCAGACACTAAAAGCACTGCGAAGAAAATATGATTGAAAAAAAAATAGGAATCGAGTCCAGCTGTCAAAAGAAAATTCTAGACAAGGCAGTGTTTCAGCCATCTTTTTCTCTCTGATGTAAAAGCTCTCCCAGTAACCTAGCAGGAAATGTGGGACACCCTCCTGCATGCTACTCTCACTACCCCCCAGTTTGCTTCGCTTCGGTCCCCCTGAAATACGCTGCCTGCAGCGCTCGCTCGCGGGTGCGGGCGTATTCCCACCTGAGTGTCACTATGATGGCTGAAGGTTGGGCACAGGCTGTGATGAAGGTAACTATGAACAGGAAGACCAAGAAGGGGATGAGGGTGTTGCAGGTGCGTTTGCACTTCCCAGACACAGCGTAGCCATTCTCATTGAGATAGGTTTTCACGATGACCACACGGAGCTGGCTGCGCTGGCCCACCGTGGGCGGGGTGATCACTTGCCGGCTTTGGACGCAGGCGCACTCAGTATAATTGCGAACCTAAGGAGCAAACAATAAGCTGTATGTCAGTCAAAATAAAACCCGGAGATGGAATGTTAACAAAGTAAAAGTGCTAAAAAAGAACTATACGAAATGAAATGCACACTATTGCACACAAAACACCTTGTTTCTTAACAGCAATACAAGGTCAAAGTTGGCCTTAATTATATCAAAACCTGCTAGTCAAAGTTTAAACCTAAACTTCCCTGAGAAGCTTTAAACACTCAATTCTGTGACATCAGCATGCCATGTGCTCATCGGGAACATAAATACACATGGCTCCCACTGCTGTTGAACCTGTAGACGCTCTTGTTAGAGAAGACCCTAGAACAGAGCCAGCTTGATTTTTATTCGTGGTCACTAGAGTACCTAGCACGAGTCTGAGCACACAGTGAGGCCTAGGGTAAATATCTGTTAAACTTTTAGCACAAGTGTGATGGCTTCTAACAAGCAGAGTGATGTGGACTAGGAACGGTGGCTTCAGTGCCTGTATCAGGAGGAGCAGACCTGTTTTTCATCCCACCCGGCTAGCTTACACCCGAAATAATCACACAGAAATTGTATTAATTAAATCACTGCCTGGCCCATTATTTCTAGCCTCTTATTGGCTAATTCTCACATATTAGTTTAAGCCATCTCCATTAACGTGTATCACCACTTGACTGTGGCTTACTGGCATGAATCTAACCAGCGTCCGTCTAGGGCAGGAGAACCATGGCGTCTGCCACACTGCTCTTCTTCCCAGCATTCAGTTCAGTCTACTCCACCTATCTAAGTTCTGCCCTATCAAAAGGCCAAGGCAGTTTCTTTATTCAACCAAATGAAAGCAACACATAGACAGAAGAACCTCCTACAAGTGCCAATGATGATGACCTTCCTTCTGGCCGCCCGTTTAAACACCCTGTCATTCCCTTCAACAGGCTAGCAGTCTGTCTCTCTCTCTCTTTCTATGTGTGTGTGTGTGTGTGTGTGTGTGTGTGTGTGTGTGTGTGTAAGTTTGCATCACTTCATCCTGTACTGTATCCGCAGCCAGGTGCTCCAGATTCTGACAGACTCCAGCATCCCTTGGTCATTTTCCCCAACACATATCTATGAGACCCTATTGATGTATATGGCACTAGAGGACACTGAAGACTGAGGAGCAGAGGAGACTAAATCTTCTCCAGTAACTTCCCAGACTTTCCAAACACAATGATGAAAACGAAACTCCTCTTGGTGTGATCTAGTCAGGACCCAAACAAGCTAACAAATGCTAATGTGGTCAACTATGTCTTTGTCTAGCTAGTGTCTTACTTTTTACTAAATGGAAATTAGCTGAACTAGTTCACATGGTGACTGCTTAAAACAGGACTAAGAAGAGGTTGGTGGGGCGTTGGCCGTGTAAGCAGGAAGGACTTTCCGTCTTTCTAATAAAAACAGTGTGCCCAGGAGATCTCACTCACCGCCCTACAACATTGCATGGATCACAGCAAAGAAACAATCTCATGATCTCAACAGGGTCATACTCCAGAGCTCCCCAACTATGTCACAGGGAACCTGAAAGAGTAATTTCCCATTTACCCTCTAGTTTCAAACTCAGAGAACAAAAGGGGTACCCCTAAACTCTAGGCCAACGGTGTAGTCTCTGCAGCCTGCATAGAACAGGCAAATCACATTTTAACCTTTAAATTAGGGCAATCCACCTCCAATCTGTTCTCATGCCAACAGCCAAATTGGGCTCAGTAAAGAATAGAGTAAAATATAAAAGCCTTCTCCCACAGTATTAAAGCCTATTTATAATTCACGGGGAAGAGAATTCTCAGAATAGACCATTCTTCAGCTGACAGAAATATCTTTACTCCGAAAGTTAAAGAGCAGGGGTATTAGGGGGTGAATTGTCTGATAGTCTTATGAAAAATAGGCATCACCCATCTTCACAGACACCCGATAGAAGGCCAGCTTCCACAGTCTCTGGTCTCAGCACAAACTCTAGTCACCTTGACCTTCAAATCCATTACAGAGGCCCTGCCAGAGCAACAAACAGGAAACCCGGAGTTCAGCCTTATCAAGTTTCCCTGAGCTGGCCTGGAATGTAAAGTAGGAGCCAGCTGATGAGGACCAGAACTCTACACCCAGATTCTCCCAGCACCCCGACAGCAGTGATAGCCCTGCACAGTTGGCCTCTCATGAGAAGTTTTTCAGAGGTGCTTGGAGGGCGATTTGGAGCCTCACGTTCAAGGGAAACTGAAGTCAGCATGGGTGCATGTGAGTCTCATCCTATCCTTATCTTGTGATGGTGGATTAACAGTACGAGAGAGACTTGTGGAGTATACTCACCCCGGTGCTAAGATTGCCACTGTTAACACAGCCAGCCAGGCATGGGTTGAAGTACGTGATTCCATCTGATCCACAGACTGGCTCATATTCGTGTATTTTACAACCACAATTAACATTGCAGCTTCCTGTCAGGTTCCTATGGGGCATGGTCAGAGAAGGTCTGAGAGAGAGAGAGAGAGAGAGAGAGAGAGAGAGAGAGAGAGAGAGAGAGAGAGAGAGAGAGAGAGAGAGAGAGAGAGAAAAAATCAAGCAAGACTGAGAATGAAACCAAAAGAACATTCTTGATAGCAAGTGAATTTAATTTAGAGACATCATTCCCAACAATCAAACCTATGGTACCATGAAGTAGTCACCTTCCAGAGCTATTTTCATAAACTTATTACAAAATATAGAGAAAACATTTCTGTTCTCATTGGAATAGATGGAATAGGTTTAAAATCAAATTATCTCTCCCGCCTCAATCCCACTGTCCACCTTGATTCGAGAGACTGACCTCAGGTCTGACTCTAGTGACTTGGACTCTCAAAAAAACTCCTCTCTGGGAAACACTAGGCTCTGAGTCTTAACAATGGATCACAATTCATTTCATTTGATTTTATTTGGGGACCTGCTAAGGATTAAGCCCAGCAATTCATGCATAATGTCTGAACTCTAGCACTAAGCCAATTCCCACCTAAGCTTATTTTTATTTATATATAATACTTACACAAATCTATGGTGTATGTGTGCTATTTCAGTACACATATATATTAGATAATGAACCAATCAGATTAATTACCATATCTTTTGTCTCAAGATTGATTGAGTTTTTGAACTATAAAATAGAGAAAATATGTTTTATTACTGGATCTTTAAAATCATTGTGAGCACATGGACATGAAATCCATCCATCAGCCCCAGGTGCCAGTGTAGGTTCCGTCCATCAAAGACTTGACTTGTTCTAGAATAATCTACCAAAGGAATAGAATAACTCTAAAAATCCAAGAGGAAGAGATTCCCAAAGGTGAATGGCTAGGGACCCTGTCACTAGTTTGACAGAAATAACAAAAGGAGAGGACAGAAATCACTAGAAATACCCAGATGCAATTCACAGTCGAACATGGTGGACGTGTTTCCCCATGAAGCCACGGTGCCAAATACAGAGAAATGATGCAATAGGAAAGCTCGAGGAAAATCTATTCAAACCATAGGGAGAAATATGACGTGTAAAGGCATGGAGATGGGGAGAGGGTCTAAAACAGAGAAGGTCTGAGAGAGAGAGAGGGGCAGGCAGGTTGGGGGGGGCACAGAAGAACGAGATTGGCTCTAAAAAGCTCAAAACCAAGACAGTCTTACTTGATGCTTTGTTACCATTCTTAAGCAGTACTGGTAAAATACCATTCCTAGAGCTAAATAGGTCAGCAGGAGCAGATGTTTCGTGCATCTGTTCCTTTTTCCATTGTTCATCCATTGTTCATCTGTGACGTGTCAGGACTTTCCTCGGGGACCCTGTTAGCCCAGTTTATCCAGTAGCCCAGCTCAGCCACATGGACTGCGCTACAAATTTAGCATATACACTCTTTATTCTCCGACTTCTCACACTTTGATAGCTTTGATGGGTGAAGAACCAAATTCAAAGCAACGCTACAGTTGTATCAGGAAAACTCCCTGACAAAGCAAAAGTCAAATAAATTCTGTCCTCCTTTCTTGCCATGCCACAGAAGAAATTAGCTCAAGACATAATCATTATGCTTACAAACTCTTAGTCTCAAGACATTTTAATATTTGAATACACCCCCAAAGTCATTCCAAATGAGTGGTTCTCAACAGGGGCAATCTTGTTTTCCCATCCAGGGGACATTTGTCAATGTTGGAAGGTAGTTTGGGTTGCTCTAACTAAGGGGTGCTGTGGACATCTGTTCGTGTTATACAAGGATACCTGCAAATACCGTACAATGTTTGAGACTAGCTTTCACCTTCTACAAAAAGGAACAGCCTGGCCCAAATGTCAGTGGTACTGCAGATAAGACTTCAAACCAATCAGTACATTCTGCATGTGATGAAGAGGGGCTGCAGAAGCCCAGCACCGTGTTAGCTATAGACATGTGGAAGTATGAAGGATAGTACAGTCAGCTCACCAAGACTTCAGGAACTAAACTGCAAGCCATGACAAGAAAGAAGAGCCTTTCCAAACGGTGTGCTTAGTCACTAAAACTGACAGGCTTCAGTACCAGACCAACAGCTGCTAGTGCTGCTATTTAGAAGTTCTTGGCATTTTCCCTCTGACAGCCTGCTCTGCCTTCATGGATAACAGCCACACACTACAAATGCCTGTCAAAAGCCCGGCAGTGGTGGAACACACCTTTAACCCCAGGACTTGAGAGCTGAGGCAGGTGGATCTCTGTGAGATCGAGGGCAACCTGGTCTACAGAGCGAGTTTCAGGACAGTCAGGACTGTTTCACAGAGAAACTTTGCCTTGAAAATCAAAATTAAAAAATAAGTTAAACAAATGCCTGTCACTTAAGAGAATGTCCACTCAAGAGGAGTGACCTTGCGCCAGCATCAACATATGCTTTAAACACATAGACAAGACCTTTCCTCTCAGGCCCGTCTTGCTGGTAATGTCTGTTTTTCTCCTAGCCTTTATTTAAAAAAAAAATAACATAATAGTAAAATACTCTAAGAAAAAAAATGAATTTAGAAGTTTAGAGAGGCGGATCAGAAGTTAAGAACACTTGCTGCTCATCCAGAGACCCACGTTTAGTTCCCAGCACCCACATCAGGCAGCTAACGGCCACCTCTCACTCTTACCAAGGAATAAGATGTCTTCTGGCTTCTGTAGGCACCCACGCACAGTGACGTGTACTCACATAGACATGTCCACATGAGGTGTGAAATAAACCTTTTAAATGCTAGCACCCAGGAGACAGGAGTGGTGAGGTCAGTACCAGTGCGGTCTACATATCAATTTCCAGGTCAGTCGGGACAACAGAGTGAAATGGTGTCTCCAGTAACAACGGCAATAATGGTAGCAGCAACAATAAGAATACTTTTAAAAAGAAAACAGGAAATTAATTAAGACAACCAATAGAATTACCATGAAAGGAAGTAGGTACTCATGACAGAGAGTCATTAAGAGGAAAGGTCACCGTGGATTAGAAGAGAAGGCAGCCAGCATGGCTCATCCTCTGAACCGGGCTGATTTGCAAAGAATCTTTTTCTTTTTTTTTTTTCTTATTGAAAATAGAATTTTTTTTTCTCACATAACATATCCTGATTATAGTTTCCCCTCCCTCTATTCCTCCAAGTTTCTCCTTCCTTCCCTCTGGATCCACCCCCCTTTCTGTCCTTCATTAGAAAATAAACAGGCATTTCAAAAATGATTATAAAATAAAATAGAGCACAATGAAAGCTTAACACATCAGGATAGGACAAAAGAAACAAACAGAAGGAAAAGAGCCCAAGAAAAGGTGCAAGAGACAGAGAACTGCTTGTTCGCACGTTTAGGAATCCCATAAAAACACTAAACTGGAAGCCAAAGGACCTGTATGGAGAGAGAGAGAGAGAGAGAGAGAGAGAGAGAGAGAGAGAGAGAGAGGGAGAGAGAGAAAATAAGATGAAATAAAAATAAAGAAGAATCATTTCTAAGAAGAATGTCGTGTTTGATTGTCATTCATTCACCAGAGCATAGACTGCTACCCTCAAACAAGGCGCCCACCGACTTCTCTTCTAAAATGGCATTAAACAGGTCATAGCTCAAACTAGTGAAAGGGCTAACCTCAGCACTAAGAAATCCCTCATTTGTCAGGAGTGAAACCATGATGGGAACAGAAGATGCCTACGGACTAATTAGGGTTCATTGCACTAATTGGCACAAAGAGACTAGGTTCCATCTTTCAAAACTGAAAAGATTCCAGGCAAGACAACCTTCTAAAGGAGATGCTCCTGTTAACTCATGAGGCAGTGTAGTTGAATCTCACTTTGTTGTTCTTGAGATCATGTCTCATGTAGCCTGCGTTGGAGAGGTGGCTCAGTGTTTAAGAGCACTGCTTGCATAGCGGACAATGAGGACTACTGAGACAGCAAGAACAATGGCAATGGGTTTTTGACCCTACTGCATGTAGTGGCTTTGTGGGAGCCTAGGATGTTTGGATGCTCACCTTACGAGACCTGGACGGAGGAGGGTTTTCCTTGGACTTCCCACGGGACTGAGAGCCCTGATTGCTCTTTGGGCTGACGAGGGAGGGGGAATGGACTGGGGGAGGGGGAGGGAAAGGGGAGGCGGAGGTGGGGAAGAGACAGAAATATTTAATAAATAAAGAAAGAAAGAAAAAAAAAAGAGCACTGCTTGCTTTTCCAAAGGTCTTAAGTTCAATTCCCAGCTACCACAAGGTGGCTCACCACCATCTGTAATGAGATGTGGTGCCCTCATCAACTAAGACCATGAAACCTAATATGGTCAAATTCTACAGAACTGCCATATATGGGCTGCCCATGCAAGCTTCAACATTGCCAGGGCATAAATTTTCACCTTACTATAAAATATTTTACAATTGGATGCTCCAAACTGCTTGTATTAGCTAGAAAAATGCAAGAGGTCATCAAGATTATCTAGCAATGTTGTTAACCTTGAATACTAGGAAGCTATAATGATCTGGCCTGAAATCACCAAGACTGTCCTTAGGAAAACAAGCCCTAGAGAGTCAACAAAGTAAACATAAATAAAATAAAAATAGCCACCCTGGCTAACCTTTATCAGTCAATGCCTAAGGAACAATGTTTATATAAAGGGATACATGACAACCAAGCAGATTGTTGTATAATATGAACTAAAAGCAAATCTCTGCCACAGGCCATTACACGTGGATATGTAAGAACACAGTTAGGTCAATACAGTACATTCATACCAGCACCCGTGTCTTATTAGTCCTACCTCAAGATCTGAAGACCACTAGGCCTTCCTTATCTAATAGACACCCTACAGTGTCTATAATTCAAAGAGGAGATCTTAAACCTTCTTTTGTCTTAGGTTATCCCCATTAAAATATTGACGTGGGAATCCAAGTATATCATACTCAAATCACATGAATTAAAAATCTCATGATTAACACAGTAAAAACATTCTCCAAAGCAGAAAACACTAAAAAAGCAGGGGAAACGTTTCCTGTCTCTCTGTCTTT